TTACAGGACACTGGTATGACAAATTTAGTCCCGATTTTAAGAACATATGCAGTATTGGCTGAATCCACTCTAAAGCCTCCTTTTTTAAATGGGTACTGTTTATTACATGGGATCCATTCCCCTTCTTTTAAGTTGACTTCTGTGAGTTGCACAGTTAACTGCTTTACCTGGGATTCCATCAGCCCAAACAGTTCAATTGACCTGTTCATGGATCTCAGGTGGGGAGAGTTTACCTCTGAGGCCTTCGGGGCAGGTAAGGAGCACCTGAAACTGGAGAGCATGTTCCAGTGGGACCTCTATACATAGTTGCTGCTTTTCAGGAGAAAAAGTTATTTGTCCATGCAATTTGCAAAGTAAGTCTGTCTCAGCAGTGGAATAGGGTGGTCTGAAATGTAGAGAAAACTTTGTGCAGTGTTTTGTTCCCAAGCTAGCATCTAGGGGTTGAAGGAATGCCTGTTTTTTGTACTTGTCTAATCACTCTAGTAACCATTACTATATCTGAACTTTCCTTAGTTACTTTTGTATTCAGCACTGAACATGTAGCTCTTGTGTGTACAAGAAAATCAGTTGGCTTATTTCCCACCATCAACTGTAGCCTGGGCTCCTGTGGGGAAAGAGTAATGGGTCAGGAGATGTCCAATGGAGCCCTTGGTCCTCCTCATTCATCGTCAGACTCCCGTTGCCTTTTTAGCATTTCCCAGCAAGGGTTTCCATTCCTACTTTCCCTTTTGAATTTCGGGCACTCCTTTCACCAGTGGACCTACTCTTTACAATAAGCACATTGATTGGTGCCTAGTGTGCCTCTCTTTTTTCTCTTTATGGTCCCACCTCTTCTTCTGGTCTTTCCACCCTATTTCTAAAAACACTGTGGCCTGCTTTACATTCCTTGGTTCCTGGTCATTGTAGACTTTAAAGGCTATGTCGAACAGCTGAGAGGGATTCATTGCCTCATCCAAACTCCGGAACTTTTTTCTCATATCCAGGGCATTTTGCCCATTAAAGTCATGTTCACCATCCACACATTCTCTAGCGCCTGTGGATCAGTGTCAGTGTGTCGTCTATAGGCCTGATAGATCCTTTCTAAAAATTCAGAATGGTCCTCATCTGGCTTTTGCTGAAGGGCCTGTATCTTACTCAGGCTCTTTTGCTTGGGCACTCCTTTCTTAAGCCCTTCTAGTATGCACTTTCTGCAATGTTCCAGGAAGGGTAGGCCACCACCATTTGGGTTCCAGTCAGGCTCTGCGAAGGAAATTGCCCCAACTGAAGTCCCATCCATTAGGATTCTCTTGGTGGAGACTTTGAGCCTCTTCACTAGCCTTACTTATAGCCAACCATCTCTTATCTGCTGTTAGCAGGATATTAAGGAGAGCTTGTACATCTGACCATGCTGGAGGATGAGTGGCAGAAATGGAGGCAATAAGTTCTGCCATTCTCTGAGGATCCTCCCTGTGGAGGATTTGAGATTTTTCCAATTCAGTGAGTCTGAAATGGAGAACAGAGTATGGGTCTAATAGTAGACAGCAGGCTGATCTTCCTTGTTTACTCTGTCTATGGGATAGTGCCTCAAAGGAAACTGCTTTGTTCTAGATGGGGCACTCCCTGGCCAAATTGGGTGCCCTAATGGGTCTTGATTGCGAAGATCTATCCCTCGTCATAAAGAGGTGGGGCTGTTGACCCTGTAGGCCCTACTTCAGGGATAGCTAGCAGTGGGGGTGGCAATGGAGGAGGTGCTACGAACCTTGTGTCCCTTGGGTTCAGGGCATTAATGAGATATTCCCTTATTCTCCTTTTCTCCCTATGTACTATCAGGAAGAGGTTTCAAGACTCCTTCCAGTCTCTGCACTGTCATGTCGATCTTTGTCTCTGGTGAAATCCTATTATGCAATGACATAAATGCCTTGACATAACTGATTTCATCTCATTTATGTAACTGTTGGCAATACAGTTCTAGTTGCATAATAGTACAGTAATCTAGGGAACCATCTGTGGGCCCCCTTTACCCACAATCCAAAATGTATATAGCCCACACAATATTACAGTAATAAACCAATACTTCCTTGGACCTTGGATAATGGCTGTATGTACCACAGTCCACTAAAATTTTACCCAGTGGGCTCCCTCCAGGAACCAACCCAGAATGGTTCCTGCTGGCCCACATATACAACAGGCCAAACCCTATGACAAAAAGAAGCCAGGCACTTGGGAACATACAGAGAAAACTGTCACTCAGACTCCATTCTTCTAACAAATGATCACAAGCAAGTTTTTCTGCCCACCAATTACGCAAACAGTGACCCCAACCAATGGCTTTCCCAAAACTTGGCCTGTCCTCACCCAGACCCCAGTTGACAGCCCCAAAACTCAGGTGATCCTCCTTCCCAGAGTCTGTTCCTTTCCCAGACCCATTCCCTTTTTACTTGCCATGTGTGTTTAAGTGGCTGATGCCTTTAGTGGGCCTGCAGAGAACTTCCCAGTAACTGGGAACCCCACAGTCCCACTTCCTGGGGAAGGGTGTTCAACCTGCCACAAGCAGCTGAGGCCCCACATTGGGCACCATTATTATAACCAAACACCTAGTGAGGCCCTATTCCATTCATAGGCAAAGACTCTAGAGACAGAATTGAATGGAAAAGAAAAAGGAATTTTTTATTTAAAATATGCACAACAGGTTCCTCAATGGGACCCACCTCTAGCTGAAGGAGTGTGCGGGCTGGTATTGGATGGTTGCTGAGGCAGCTTCCTGGGACTCCCTGCCTGGGGGAGAGGGACAGGGCTTGTCGCCTGGCTGTGCCGCCTCCCAGGACCCTCCATCTCTAGCCTCCTTCCCTATTTCTTATGAGCCTAGCACCCACAGCACTCCAGGTCAGGACCAGAGCTCTTGGGGAGGGGTGCGAGACCTGTCCTGACCAGCGACCATGGCTTCTTTTCTGGGGAAGAGAGTGGGGATTCCATAACAGCCTCCCTCCTGAGCCCACTTGCCCCTCTTCTGCCCCCTTATCAGCCTGCTGCACTCCTGGCCAGGCAGGTCCTGGAGCACTTGGGCAGGGGCATGAGGTATCCTCTGGACAAGGCCTGCCAGCTCAGGAACCTCAGCCACAGCCACGGACCACCCAGCCAGGGGGTGGGGGAGCAAAAGCACCCAATTTCCATGTACTCTGCATTTTAAAACTGCCCCCATGATTCCCCATGCAGTGGAATAGATAGAAAAGTATGCCCGGCACACCCAGTTAGCTTTCCAGCTTTCTGCACCAGCCCTATGCCACGTTGCTTTTTGCTGTGTCATATGCACATCATCCTGGTTGCCGGGGTGACACACATGTGCACCGTCTTCTGCACTTTACCCCTCCACATTTCTCGGCATTACCCACTCCCATTACAGTATCATATATTATGTTAGACCCTTTAATATTGCTTACAATAGAGAATGTGCTAATGTTTTGTGCCATGCAGTCTGTATAATGTGTTCCATTTTACAATGGGAAACTGCAGCTAAGCTGGTTAACTGCACTGGTCTTAGTGGCAGAATCTGTTGGTTTGTTTTTGTTGTTTTTTTTTTCACTTTATCCTGGTGGTTTCTAACACCAAAGATGGGCTCTGGTGCGTAGGAAGATTTGTGGAAAGCATTAAACTATACAGTGCTATTGAGTGTGATACTTAAATTCTTTGTGAGGTCTATGTATCTCCTCTCAGGAGATTATATCCCTTAGGCCAATATTGTAGTTATCTATTGCCACATAAATAATATCCAACATTTTTTATTTTCAACAATGATTTGTTCTGTTGTGGCCTTTGTGGGTTGGTCGGGCTCAAATGGGCTAGTGGGTGGGATAGTGCAGTGGGAGGTGAAGCTTAGAAGGAAGGACCTTGTGGGCCTCAGGTTCAGGTGGATGCCACCTTTATGGGGCCTCCAGGCCATTCTTCGAGTGCAGGTAGTTTTGTATTTCCTTAACTGGGACAGATTTGTTAGGGCCAGTGATGTGGAGAATATAAGAGAAAAGATGGTAGCCAGGGTTTAACCAAGACAGGATTAGTGGAAATCAGAAAGAATCTGTAAAGGATGCTGTCAGTAAGTGGTGGTGAGAGAGCAATTAAAGTTTCTTGGGCTGGTGGATGTTAACAAATGAACATTTGTTGTTACTGGTGGTATTGCTAGAAACTGGAATCAAGTGTCACTGTTATTAAGAATTTTTTGGTTGCAATTGACAGAAACCAGACACCTCCCAAAGAGTATATTGGTTCATGAAAAATCACAGGAATAAGTCTAGGGTTCAGATGTGGCTAAACCCAGGGACTCAAGTGATGTCAATTAGAACTCAGTATCACCAAAAATTGCCCTGGTTTCTCTGAAAAGTGCAATTATTGGTAGAGGAGCATTAGGGTATTGTTAGTGAACTCAAGGGGTTTGCCACTTGGAATGCTCTATTCAAAAACAAGATGTGGTTGTCACAACGTAGTTTTATTTCCTTGTAGCAAGTAAAGGAGACCAGATTCATATCCAGAACTTCTGCCTCCCTGAAAAGGGACTTAGCTATTGCTTAAATAACGCTATTTAGTCAATTGTATGTTGATTTCAGTTGGCTAGACTTGCTGGGTTAGGTTCCTGTGAAGCTCATCCTGTTCAAAGCTGGTCTACAAAATACCTTGTTACATTTTGACGTTTAGCAAGAATAGCATTTAGTAAGAATGGCCCAGACCTTGAGACCCTTGTCCTAACAGTATCTCTAAAAGACTTATATTTATTAACCCTCTCAGTCAGGATTCATAAAGACCACTCTTAAAGATAAACACGAGGGGAAAAATACATGAAATGATAAAATATTTAGCAGCCATTACACGCTTACCAGAAAGGCCAAAATCCAAACACTGGCAATACCAAATGCTGGTGAGGATGTAGAGCAATGGGAACTCTCACTCATTACAGACAGGAATATAAAATGGTACAGCCACTTTGGAAGACACTTTGGAGGTTTCTTACAAAACTGAACATACTCTCTTGCCCTGGCTGGTGTGGCTCAGTTGGCTGGAGCGTCATCCTGTGACTGAAAAATTGCATGTTTGATTCCTGGTCAGGGCACATGCCTAGGTTGTGGGTTCTGTCCCAGGTCCGGGTACATACAATTCCTGGTCCACACATGTGCAATACCCAGTGCATCTGTGAGGCAGCCAATCCATGCTTCTCTCTTGCATCAATGTTTCTTTTTCCCCCTCTCCCATCTTCTCTTCCTTCCCCTCTCTCTAAAAAGAAATGAAAAAATGACCTTGGGTGAGGACAAAAACAAGGAAATATACTCTCAGCATACAATCCAGCAGTGGTGCTCCTTGGTATTTACCTAGAGGAATTGAAACTTATGTCTACCCACAAATCTGCATACGGATTTTTATAGCAGCTTTTTTCATAATTGCCCAAACTTGGACACTACCAACGTGTCCTTCAGTAAGTGACTGGATAAATAATATGGTGGTACATCCAGACAATGAAATATTAATCAGTGCTAAAATGAATGAGCTGTCTAGCCATGAGAAGACCTGTAGGAACCTGAAATGCAAATTGCTAAGTAGGAGAAGCCAATCTGAAAGGCCACCCACTGTATGATTCCAACTATATGACATTCCAGAATAGGCAAAACAGACTGTCAAAAGATAGTGGTTATGGCAGGAGTGAAGAGGGAGAGAAGAATGAAGAGGTGGAGCACAGGGTGTTTTGAGGGCAGCAGATCTACTCTGGATATGTCATAATGTTTGTCTGAATCCATAGAATGTACAAGACCAAGAGTGAACTTTAAGGTAAACTGTGGACTTTTGGTGATTATGATTTGCCAGTATAGGTTCATCAGTTGTAACAAATGTACCACTCTGGTAGTGGGTGTTGATAATGGGGGAAGGCAGGGACAGGAAGTGTATGCAAAATCTCTGTACCTTCCTGTCAAATCTCAAACTGCTCTAAAAAACAGTCTTTGAAAAATTATAGAGCAGGTCCTGTCTTGCTAATCCAAGAACATTGCCTGTATTTAAAACTTGAAGTAGCAGGAGGAAGTAGGAACATCAGTCTTGGTCATTCCTCCTATAATATAACCATATAATAATATATGGTTATAGTATAGCTATATTATATAATATATTATAATTGAAGTTTTAAATTGCCTTTCATAAGGAGGAAAAGGGATCGGTTTGTTTATATGTGTGTTACATCATTTCCTAAAGGGAATGAATGACAAATCTTAAGTAGGAAGATAAAAAGAAAATTGACTCAAGTTCCCAGTAGGTCAGAATCAGATTGTCTTCTCTGACTTTTTAAGGTATTGTATTGTGGATTCTCAGGTTATATCACATAGCCTTAGCCAAATAATATATATAAAAATACATTCTGAAGTCAGTCAGTATATCTGAGTGGCTGAGCCATCATGAAGATGCTATCTATATATGTGTGTGTGTCTGTATGTATTTGGATAGTTGAAATGATTGAGAATAAGCTGTGTAACATTATGACTGATCAACGTCCAGCTGGAAATTCTTAATTGGAAAGCTAAAGCTAGTTATCAGCACTATTAAATACTAACACTATTTATGTACATTTAAATTAGCTTATGAAGAATTTATTGAATTCTCTTTGTGTACTAGGCTCCATGTTTATAATAAACATGAGTATGCCTAGCATCTTTATTATAGTTTACAGCCAAGCTTTCTTGGAAGAGAGGAGAGGTGGACTTTCAAGCAAATAATTATGTTGTGGTGGAATAGCAAATGTTCAGTCAAGGCTATATGCAAAATACAGTGGGGGCACAAAGAAGCAGTTCAGCATTGGGGTGATCAGAAAAGGCTTTCCAGAGAAAAACAAACTTGACATTGGGTCTCATAAGAAGAATACAGCGTACCAGCTACACATGGAGTTATGCAACAGCATGGTGAACTCAGGGCCTTGTAAATAGTTTTGTAGTTTAACCTTGTTTTATAATGTAAAACAGGATTTATTTTAATCAGATATGGTAAGACACACATGCATGAAAATGACTTTTTTGAAGGATGAAGATTTTATACTCAGATCCCTAGAAACAAGAAGTGCAACATTGCCTTGCAGGGCCACATGGGGAAGAACCAGGGCCAGTCAGGAAGTAGGAAAAGTGAGGCAAAGCATAGGCAAAGCCTTTGTTGTGGTTTCACTGTGAAGGGAAGGACAAGCCAAGGTAAGCAGGTGTAGTTTGGCTAGTTTGAATAATTTCAGAAGGCTCTAGGATATAGGGACTGTCCCTGGTTGTCTGATACTTGGCCCTGGGGTCACTAGGGCAGAGGAATAGTGGCTTGAAGTGTGAGAATTTGATAAAGGGGGCATGGGCTTTGGATCGTTTGGTTTACATGAGAAAGTCACCCTTCCTGGAGAGTCATTTGCTGTCTCTGATCATCACCTGGCCCTGGGAGGGTATTTTTTCGCCATCATCCAGTTGAGCCACAAAGTTACACTAGGACGGCAACATCAAGGACTCCATGGAGATCTTCTAAGGTCAAGAAATTCATCAGCACCTTGATATACTAAAATCTACTCCAGGATTAATAAACCCATTAGCCCATGTCTGAGTGAAACAGACACATTCAGAACACACTATGCATGGTATTCCCATTTCTTTTCTCTCATTCTTCAACTGTGAAAAACTTGGAATTAAGAATTGCAACTGAGAGTTAAGAATTAGAAATCCAAACATACAGCCACTGAGAGGAATATTGTCCTCATAGCTGATACATTACTTGGAGGGAGAAGAGCCCCAGGGACGCATTAGAGCCACTGAATAGCTGATGGTTTTGCAGCAGCATTGGAAGTAGTAAAGAGCTCTTGACAAATTTTAAGTAATACAATAATACCTTAGACCTGTATTTCAGGGTAATCATTCTTATCAACAAACAGGAAGATTGACTGGAGGAGTGTCAGATCTGGAGATGCGGAGACCACACCGGAGACTCTTGCAAGTGTTAGTGGGAAAGATAGCAAGGGGCTAGAGTAAGACAGTGATGGCTGGACTAAAGAAGAGGGGATATAGGTGAGCAAAATTTAGGATGTAGAAGTGATAAACCTTTACTGATTAGCTGTGGGTATGAGGGTTGAAAGTGGTATCTCTCTTGACACTCAAGTTTCAGGTGAGCTGTAGGGTGGTGGTGCCACAGCCAAGGCAGGGAATATGTGAGGTAAAAGGTGTGTGGTGGGGAAGATGAAGAGTTCAGTTTGGTACTTACTGAGTTTTCTGGTCTTGTTGAAACCTACAGGGTAAGTAATTTAGTAGGCAGTTGAATTTAAGGGCCTGGAAAAAGTAGTTTTGGTCACAGAGTACTATCTGTAGCAGCTTTGAGATAAAGGGAAGTAGGGAGGGAAAGTGAATTATAGCATAGTTAGAATTAATTAACCTTAGAGACAGTTTCCTTTCAGAAAGATAATTAGGGAGGAAACAGAATTTTGTGAGTACTAAAAAAAAGTGATTACCAACAGCAGGAGGAAAGCAAGGTTGAATGTAATGAGGAACCTGAAGATGGGTTAGGAATAAAGAGAAGTTTTGTAATGTTTACCCTGCAACCAAGTCCCTGTAAAAGGATAAGACTCCTTTAATCAATATCAACTAGATCTGTAGAAGTCTTGGCTCCTTGAGCTTAGGTGAGTTTGTAGACTTTATGTGTGTGTTAGCTTTAAAATATACTATCGTGTGCTTTAACACCACTCAACCTCCTGAGAAAGAATAGATGAAATATTCTGGAAGGATGCAAGCATGCAATATTGAGAAATAATGGCTTGAAGAAATAGCATCTGGAGAAGCATGAGCTCTCCACTGAATGGAGAGAAGTGTTTGAGTGAGAGATTCATTGGGGGAAAAGGAAGACACTGAGATCTTTGCATAGTCATGATGGAGTCCAAGAGAAACTGAAATGCAGGTTCAACTGGCTGCCTCAGTGAAAACCAAACATGTGAGATGGGTACTAGTGCAAAGGTAAGAGGTTTATTCATGTGTCGTTACTTGGGAGAATGATGGACTCCTGTGTCAAAGACCATCTCCCTTCCTGCTCAAGTTCATAGTTTTAGAGGAATAGGGAGGAGAGGACATTTTCTTCTATCCAGTTATCGTGCCAGCTTTTGGCGATCTCAGATCCTGTCCATTTATCTTACTAGCTTTTGGTGCACTTAGGTCCTGCTCATTCATCTTTTTAGCTTTTGGTGCACTTACTATAAGATCCTACCCCTGCGCTATTTTTGCCAATGGGGGAGACTCCCAGTGCTCCTTGACTGCCTACAATAACAGTTCACCCGTTCAAATCTCTGGACCCTTGTCATTTTACAAGGATGAATAGATACAGATCTTATGTCCTAAAATTTCTTCCTACTTTCAAAGGACACAGTCTTATCTATCCCTGGGTCCAGAGATTCTTGTTGTCTACTAAAGGAAGAAGGGATTCAGTAATGGAAGGAAGCCTTTATGTAAGGAAGAAGGATTGCTGATTTTGGAAGGCAGCACATGCAGTGTCTAGAGGATCACACTGCTGAACAAGCAAAGCTGGTAAATTGCTTCATATTTCAAGAGGCAGTGTTGTAGATGGGCTTCCAGAGTGAGGCCTATTGCATACACAAGGAATCAAGTATTTAGTGGGGAATATGTCTAGTAGTGCAAGGGGAATTGTAGTGAAATCGGAAACTGGAGAGACTAAAGGATCCCCATGATTTAATCCTGAGTGGGGCTTTGGGTGCCATACCCAACAGCAGGATAAGTTTGCCAAGAAAACCACTATCTGGGGAATATAGAAAAAAGCGTTATCGGTAGCAACTGTCAAAAATAAATAAATAAAATAAAACATTAACATTGTCACTTAGCTTAGCTGGCCCTTTCCAAAGGGGGTGTTCCTAAAATGGGAACTGGAAGGATCTCACAAAAACAATTTCAAAAGGGCTTAATTTAAGCCTGCTTTGGGGCACTACCCTAATCTGGAGCAAAGTAATAGGGAGTGCGTGGTCTCGCTTCAAATGTGTTCCCTGGCATGTCTTCTTTCTTCTGTGGTTCATGTTTTCAGTCTTCCATATAGATTGGGGTCTCCAAGATGCATGTATTTCCCAGTGAATCTGTAGTGCCTGTCCTGTCTTCTGGGAGATTTCTGAAGTGAACAGCAGCCCATTGTCACTTTGAATGCTGTAAGGAAGGCCAAACCAAAGAATTATTTATTTGAGTAGAAGTTTTGCTACCTCAGTTGCCTTCTCAGTTCTAGTGGGATAT